CGAGACCCGAGACCGCGGGCAGCCGCCGCCACCGCCACCCTCGGCATCGCCCTGGTGGACGGCTTCTCCGACGCCCATTTGCGGGTGAGCGAGGAGGCGCCGGCCGCCGAGCCCGACGGGCCGCTGACCCTGTACCTCATCGTCTGCCTGGCCCGCGTGGCGGCGCTGTCCCTGGCCACCGCGTTGGCCGCCGTGGTGGTGAAGGTGCGGCGGGCCAGGCGAAGCGAGGCGGAGACCTTGCCCACGTTCCCGAAGGCTGCCACGGAGAGCAACGCGGGCTCCCTGCCCCGCAGCTACGTGTACGACGTCTGCTTCGCCGCCGGAACCGTCAACAGCGAGTTTCGGTTCCTCAGGCCCCTCTTCCCCTGCTTACCCGCCGGGCTGCCCCCCGGCCCGGGCGAACAGCGGAGCTCGGTGTGCTCGCAAGAGGCGGCCAACCTCGGGGAAGAAGGCGACTGGGCTGCACAGGTGAGGGACGTGGCCGGGCCGAGGCGAAGGGGGGAGCGGGTAGGGAGCAGCGCGGGGCGGGGGATGTGCTCACCCCTGGCATTAAGGGCTACCGATGTTGCGGAGCGGGTGGTGGAGGAGCCACTGGGGAGAGAGGAGAGGGTAGAGAGGGTAGAGAGGGTCTCAGAGCCGCTGGCGGGGGCCTCCCACGAGGATCCGGCACGGCTCAGCTGCTCCCCAAGTGCTGACTAACCGCACTTCTCTGCATCCAGCTCTATGCCCTGAGTATTCGCGTTAGATCAAGTCTTTGGTGTCACCACAAAGGGGGGCAGCTGGACCATGAGAAGATGAGAAGTAGGGGTATGGATGTGTGAGCCACACAGTGAGTCCTGTCCACGCACTGCGTAGAGCCCGTAGGGACCCAGAGCAGGAACGACACCGCACCTAGGGACACGTCCTCCCGGAGGCGGCAGCACCGGGAAGGTAGTGGTCCTGTCCAGCGTTAACCGGGACTGCGGGGACAACGGTGCAAAGGGGTGTCTCATCACTGACAGCGTCCCCTGCACTGCTGTTAGGAGCTGGTGCTCGGCGCTGCCAAGTGCCGTTCACCAGGGTGGAGGCAGTGCTGAACTCAAGCTGTCTGACAAGCTGCTGGAGGCCACGGAGGCGGGGACCTTCTGCCATTAAATTCCTTTATATGTGCCTTGAATGAACTGTACTGGCCAGAAAAATGTTGATACCGGGGCTTTACAACGCACCCTCCCAGTCCCTTCCTGACCCACCCGGGTGATCCCGGACAGTACCAGCACCTCTCTTCCCGGTGCTGCTGTGAACGTAAAGTGAGTCATGTTTGAGACATCCTTTAAACTTCGGCTGTTCAAAGAGCGTGGGGGAGACAAGACGCGGCCATTGAAACAGCTCCTTCTCGCCTCATGGGGTTACTAGTTTCCGGGGATCCATCTAGCGCTTTACAAGAGTCTGGACGATGAACATATATGAGGCTGAAGACCCACAAACACCATCTCATGGTCACTCCACAAGATTTTCGTATTTCATAACCACTGATGACTTGGACTCACTTCACTGCAGGTTCTCAGAACCGCAGTTGCAGTAGCCTCAGGGGGCGTCAAGGACCCATCTTGATACATTAAACCACATTTACTGTTTGTGAGAAAGTGGTTTTGTTTTGGGCTCTTACCATCTTAAATTACTCCCTCAGACTCATAAAAGGTTTGCAGTAGTGCCTTTGTGATGTCCACAGTGGAGGATGCTTTCTGGCTTTAGTTTTTCCCCGTTCAGGTCAGAGTCTCACTGCCTTGTCCAACCTCCTCTTTGGCTCTGGGTAAAGAGTGGTGCCACCCATGCAGAGGTGTAAGACATGCCCTCTAAGCTTCTCGCTGATGCGTGCTTCAACGCCCAAACAACAACCTCCACTCTCTGTTCTTTGCAGGGCAGAGCTCGCCTCTCCGAAGACACGGGGCCCAGACCTGCGGAAGCAGCTTGCACTGCAAACAGGGGGATGGAGCTAAATGTCAATTCTGATCAAAACCCTTGGCACACCCATCAGTAAGTGAGGAGAAAGACAAGCATGTCTGTCCTCACCGGCTAACGTCCTCACAGGGAAAAGAGAATGAGGAGACCAAACACCCACCCAAAAGGTACCAGGGAGGTACAAGGCTTCTCTGTGAGAGAGCAAAACCACTCTCCTCTTGAGCAGTGCTTTATCCATGTAGGTATTTTGTAATTGTGATTTGGATGGAGGACGAGGACTGTGTTGCATGTTGATTACTCCAAGACTTGATGTATGTTTGTGAGAGTGCTACTGCTTCTAAATGTTAAGGGAAATCCTGAAAACTGGAAGTAGATCTTCAAGATAACTTTTTCCTACATCACCTTTTCTGCGTTTTTTTCTTATGGAGAGGGTTCTGTAATAATGTCTTAATTTTCTGCAGTCTGTTCAATACCAGGCCAAACAGATATTAATCAGAATTAAGTGGTGCTTGCAAAGGAATTCCTTAATAACAAGCAGAGGCTGATTACATTAGAAACGGCTGACACTGGCACACTTCGCATATTTGACCGGGAGTTTACAGGTTCTCCACACTGTAAAGAGCGGGCTTTGAGCAATGTATTCATTTTTTTTTTCCCGTAACGTAAAGTTGAAATCGACATTTCAGGATTTTTGAGTACAAGGTCATAGAGAATTAAAAGTACTGTTTGTGGTTTTACAGTGAAATAGGCTAAAACGTTTACAATAAACTTAAGGCACTGTAGAATATAGTGTCAAGAAGCTTTCTGTTTTCCTTTCATTAATCGATATTGATCTATAAAGTACTGTGATATTTCCTGTGGCTCACACATTTTTAAGAGTCAAATGCTTGATGACAGAAAACAATAAAACCTACTTGGAACTCCCTCGGGTGAGTGTGTTGTCTCGAAGATCACTTGTCACAGTCATCGCCGACACTTGTCACTGTCATAGCCACCCCAAGAGCACCATTTCGGAGTAAATCCGTGCCTTTGGCATGGATTTTATGCGGGGGAAATCAGAGCGACCTGGAAGTAGGCCGTTCTCAGAAGCCGGAGCAAGGTGGAGGGGGCTTGTCTGAGCCAAGCTGAGGTCCGAGAGGTACTGCCCCCGGCCCCTTTGCGAGGGCTCCCAGCCTGAGAGGCCGTGAATCGGGGAAACAATCTCAGTCCATTCCAGAAACCCGCCCGAGAATTACTACGGGGAACTACATGGCGATCGCTGCCGTGGTTCATGGACCAGCTCACTCTGGATGCTGGACACCTGTAACAATACACAGCTTTTTCAGCTAAACAGCCTAAAATTAATGTCTTCACTGTGCATAAACACTTCAAACTGTTGTAGGGAGGGACATTAGAAAAACCAGCTTTAAATAAAACTCGTTTTCAAATAAAAGGCAAACAGAAGCATTGCTCATTCAAGTGGTGGCCATACTTTGAACAGAGTTGTATGGGCAGTTAAATCTGTATGCCCTGACCTCGCAACAGAGAAAGATAGCGGTTTCTCTCTGTTCTGCAGTCTTTGCTCCGGGAAATCTCCGCGTGCTTCTGCAGGTCGGCCGCCTGGTGCCGCTGCTGACCGCAGAGGCGCGGAAGCTCCGCGCAACTCCCAGATCCACCGGCCCCGGAGCTCGGCCGGGCGGGGCCGTTCGCGGGGCTGCACCATCCCGGGCTGCTCTGCTCGGGGGTCGGCAGGCTGGATCGGCAGCTCCATCCAGCTCACAGGGGGAGGAGATCGGTTGGCTGGGAGGCAATGGAGCTGAGGAAGAGCGCGGAACGGCTCCCAGGGCGAGCGGTGGCTCTCATCCTGCTGCTCCTTTGCGTGTCGGGGATGAGAACAGAAACCGCCCTGTACTCGGTGCCCGAAGAGGTGGAAAGAGGCTCCTTTGTGGCGAATATCGCTAAGGATTTGGGACTGACCGGTGAGGAATTATCGGCTCGACAGGCTCGGCTCGTTCCTGAAGGAGAAAAGCAGTATTTACAGCTGAACCAACACACCGGGGATTTGGTGGTGCGAGAGCAGATGGACCGGGAGGAGCTGTGCGGGCAGACTGAGCCCTGCCTGGTGCGTTTCGAGGTGCTGCTGGAGAGCCCACTGCAGTCCTTCCGAGCTGAGGTAAGCCTCACCGACATAAATGATCATGCTCCCGTGTTCTTAAATAAAGAGATAGTTTTAAAGATCCCGGAAAGTGCAATGCCGGAGGCTCGATTTTTGTTGGAAAGCGCTCAGGATCCAGATGTGGGGAACAACAGTCTTCAGCATTACAATATCAGCTCGAACGACTATTTCCATATCTGCACCCGGAGGCGGAGTGATGGCAGGAGGTACGCCGAGCTGGTGTTGGACCGAGCCCTGGACCGGGAGCAGCAGGCAGAAGTGGCTTTCAGTGTCACGGCTGTGGACGGTGGGTCTCCACCGCGCTCTGGTACAGCCTTAATCCGCGTGGTAGTCCTGGATACAAATGACAACATCCCGGCATTTAGCCGTAGTCTGTATAAAGTCCGAGTATTAGAAAACAGCGCCGAGGATACCCCAGTGGTGGTGGTGTCTGCTAGCGATTTAGACTCAGGAACGAACGGGGAAATAGCTTATTCCATAGTTCAAAACTCAGAGGAAAATCTCCAGACGTTTAAAATCAATCCAGAGACAGGGCAGATTGGACTCAAAAAGACGGTGGATTATGAAGAAACAAAGACCTACGAGATAGACGTCCAGGCCACAGACGGAGGGGGCCTGTTCGCGCACTGTAAGGTGGAGGTGCAGGTGGAGGACGTGAACGACAACGCCCCCGAGGTGATCATCACCTCCCTCACCAGCACCCTCTCGGAAGCCGCCCCGCCGAACACCGTGGTGGCCCTCTTCAACGTGCGGGACCGGGACTCAGGGGACAACGGCAGGACGAGCTGCGAGCTGCCGGGCGAGCAGCCCTTCAGCATCACGCCGCTGGCGGCCGACGCGTACGCACTGGTGACATCGGAGGCGCTGGACCGGGAGGAGGTGGCGGAGTACAACGTGACGGTGCGGGCCCGCGACGAGGGCTCCCCCGCGCTCTCGGCGTCCAAGACGCTGCTCGTGCGGCTCTTGGACGTGAACGACAACGCGCCCACCTTCGCCCAGGCAGTTTACACCATGGTGCTGAGCGAAAACGAGCCCGCGGGGACAAGCCTGGGCCGTCTGAGCGCCACGGACGCGGACGCGGGAAAAAACGCCCGCGTGAGATACGCGCTGGAGCCGCCCCCGCCGGGCGCCCCTGCCGCTGCATCCTTCGTGTCCGTGGACACGGAGAGTGGAACCGTGCGGGCGCTGCGCCCGCTGGACTACGAGGAGGTGCGCGCCTTCGAGGTGGCGGTGCGCGCTACCGACGGCGGCTCGCGGGCGCCCACCG